CTGCCTCAACCACTTGACAAATATCACATGCCCTATCTGGAGCAGCGGCCGCTCTACATCCCCGTGGCAGCTGCCAGCTCTGCGAGCGGGGCCGCGGGGGGACCCCGACAGGGTGCAGGGTGGGGGCACCTCCAGCCCGGCTCTTCCAGCCCCGGCAGCGCCTTGCCCACACCTCCGCCTGCCTCCTGCGCCTCTCCACGGCTTGGCCGGGCACTTCAGGGCTGCTAGCTGGGCTGCCAGAGCAAGGAGCCCTGGGCAACGGCCCACAGCCGCTGAGCGAAGACTTCCCTGCATTTTTCCTCTGCATCCGATAGTTTTCCTGGTCGCACCGAGCCCTGTGCCGGAGGCAGCGACAGCATCCGCAACATCCCAGTGCGAGCGGGATCGTGCCCAGGAGCTGTAGGGCACAGAGTCACCAAAAATAATCTGCGTCTTTGAGAATAGTCCCATTTATAGCAAAGTGTGCGACACGTAATCCTGGTCACAGGCTGCTTAGGCTCACCAAAGAGCTGTTTTGTTCCCCGTGCTCGTGTTCTGAACCTGCAGCCGCCACCGCACAGCTTCGTGCCAGAGCAGGAGCCAGTGCCAGGACCGGCTCCCAGAGCGTGGGGCTGGGCTCGGTTACTGCCAAATAAAATGCCCAGGTCACAAGTTACTGCAGGAGTAGCCCAGGGGACTAAATCAAGGCTACTTACCTCCACGCTATAAATACGAACTTTACTGGGGCATGAAGATCTTGGAGGTGGGTCTGGATAGCACCCGAGCCGGGATCGCTGCATTGGGAATACACGTCCTCCTCCCTACGGCATCCCCCTGTCTCACTGTCATTACCCGGCGCTCTCTTTCAGCAGTTACTGGGTGAGGAGTGCCTGTTCCTTGAAAGGCTCGAAGAAAACCATTACAACACGTATGTCTCCAAAAAGCACGCAGATAAGAACTGGTTTGTTGGTCTGAAGAAGAACGGGAACAGCAAGCTGGGGCCGCGGACTCACTACGGCCAGAAGGCGATCCTCTTCCTCCCGCTGCCTGTCTCGGCCGACTAAGCCCCATCCTGGGAGCTCAGAGACGACCCGAACCCCAGAACCCAACCGCCACCTCCTCCTTTTCCCTCGCCCTCTCTTTTTTTGGCTAGTATGACCGAGCCAAACGTTAGAGCCCTGAGCTTTAGGTAAAGGCTTTACCACAGATAGACAAAGCAGAGCTCCTCCGCTCTGCACAAAGCTTCGCAGAGATGAGGGGAAAAGCCCCGACACCCTCCCAAGGTCCACCGGCCCCCCCGCCTCCCCCCACCCTCCGTCAGCAGCGTGGGGCTGGCACGTGCCGTGACCACGCTGCAGCTCCCGGGGACGCACACAAACCTGCCCCGAAACGGGGCCAAGGGCACCCCAAGGACACCCCGGGTCCCAGGGAAATGCACGCTTTTACTGTCCCCAGGCATTCTGAGGCAAAACCTCCCTGGATTCCCTGTGCTAACATATTTATCCATCTAAGTATGTAGCTTGTAATATGCCCTTCAGGCAATTTCAGATTGCACCACCCGCCATGCTATGGAGTGCCAGCCTGGTTAAACGCTGGCAGATATCCTCAGCCTACGAAGCTAAATTAGCATCAGCCAAAGGCTCCAAGCCCTAGACTTCCTAGCCTCCCTCACCACATGAAGATTGCCATATTTCATGCTAGTACCTGCCATATGTTATTTGTATTTATTTATTAAGTAAACCTGTCTCTCCTACAATCTGTTCATAAGTAATTCCAGGCACTAACCCCCCTCGACGTTGTCCCAGTGAGGCAGAGTGGGAGCCACTGAGGTCTGATGTTGAGGGTGGGATGGTGCAGCAGGAACAGGCTGCGTGGTGGTGGCAGCGCATCGCACCCCGTTCCCAGGGGGCTTCCTCCCGCACCCCCCGGCACCTGGCTAAATGGGGCTCTAGAAATGGCACCGGGGCCCCGTGGTGACTCCCAAACCCTCCGTGAAGCTGAGTTTCTCCTCGCCCAGCATGAAGCAGACCTCCCGAGCAGCTCAAGAGCCGCTCCTGCCAGGCGAGAGCATCACAGGGGCACCACGCTGCCACGCTCGACCCCGGCTCATCTTCCCCCGTCCCCCTCGGGCACTTGCGGACACCCACGGTGACCAGGCACGAGCTGCACGGGGGGGACGGGTCAGGCCAGGCACCAAAGCCTTGCTGAGTCAGCGCTTCTCCAATCGCTTCTTCCTGAGTGGCAAGTGCATTTTACCCTGCAGCGAGTTTCCTCATGTGTAGACTAGCCCAGAGCCTTTAACTAATCCGTTCTGGTGACAGCGCATTAAAAAGGAAGTTGGGACTAGGTTTAGCTCCTGTGCAACGGTGTGACTTGTCACGGCCCGGCTGCAGGTGAGGTACACGCGGAGGTGTGGCCAGGGGTGCCGCGGTCGATGGGACGGATTCGGCAGTCGAAGAAGCAAAAGCGCAGGAGTCCTTCGCTGGTGCAAGGCTGGAGCTGCGGCAGTGCCGTGCAGCCCGGCCCGGCATCGCGGCGGGGGGAGCACTGCCGAAATTCATGTTCGGCTCAGTGCTCCCGTTGGTCTCGGACTGAGGTCTCAAGCTGTAAATAAAATACGCTGGTACAGTGGCAGAACAATAAAGTTTGATAGGAAATATTGCAGCAGGCTATATTTGGTCTTAATTTAAGAGGTGCTTGAGTAAAAAAGTCTAAATCTCTTGGGGGGGGAGTGTTGAACATCGAGCATGGTGCTTCTTCAGCACAGGGATGAGCTTTGTGAGGAGACACAGAAGCCAGTCACTCGGGTGGCAGCACCGAGCAGGGACACCCAAAGGGGGAACCCGCAGGGAGCTGGGGGGCCCTGCGCTGGGGCGGGCGGGGGACGCAGCCTGGTCGGACACTGCAGACGCCGCTCCCCCCGCACGGAGGGACGGCCGCAGGCTTTGCACTCGTTATTGTTTCTACAACAATAATGACAGTTTTGCAATTCCTAAACGCTTTTCCTAACGCTTCCCCTCCTACAGTCCCGCCTGTTGGGCCTCACTTTCCTTATTCAGCAGTGAAGGGGGGGGAATGGCATTTAGGTACATAGCGTAACTTAAGGTAATTAAACATTACATTGTTGAAATACTAATTCTGTGTCAGTGGTGAAAAGCGCTCCTGTTCAGTTTGGAAAAGGTGGGTAATCCAATTCATTTTACCTCTGTTTTTGCATAATAAACCCTTGGAAACTGCAGAAGTCTTTGGCAGGAGCGTTACGGCAGGA